AAACCGGCCTCAAGCTCATAAAAAATTGTTGAATATAATTGTTATAAGGCCATAAAATAACAAAAAACAAATAGTTTAAGATTATGGTTAATTCCTTCACGATCCAATTATCGGATCTAAACAAAATTAGTAGTAGAATTATCGGAATCGGTTAACGTAGTCAAAAGTTCTGCGGTAAGATACATAAAAAATAAAAAACAAAAATATAAAAAAATAAAAATAATAAAAAATAAAAAAATTAAAAAAGTATATTCCGACGAACTGATAACCTCCTCCTCTTTTTACAACAAAGAAGCGACAATTTATGCCATAGATAACTTTTCCAATTTTTAAAAACTGTTTTCAAGCTGATAGGCAATTTGCAAAGAGTGAGTGTGAGTGATTCAGAGCTTTTTTCTTTATATGAATTAAAATTAGCCGCAATGTTTATGTCGCAAAAAAAAATTAACAAACCTTTGTAAATGAATTTACATATTTATTTAATAAATAATCTTTTTTGTGAAACTTGTTTTCACATTTTTATTTCAAAGCCGAAACGAAACCTAACACGAAACTAAATTTCAAGAACGAAACGAAAACCGAAACCGAAACACTTTGCAAAACCGAAACCGGTACGTTATTTGATTCGGTTTCATTCCTTGGAAAATACACAAAATATTTAACGGGCATACCTGAAGTTTTCAGACTAACTTCTCTTCCAGGTAATATTATAGATATCACAGAGTCATCATCCAATTGCACAGACATGATGCCGAGGGCACGTAGAGCTGGATTGCCCTCCGATGCCATCTGGCGTAAACGTTGCGCTGCATCCTTTGGGATTTGCACTGTTATCCGCACACACGAATCGATCTGCTGTAAAAAAAGAATGTCTTATATGTAGTAGTAGAAAATGGATCATAATGATAAAACAAACTATTTAAATTAATGAAAACACACATATATGTATGCACATTAAGATGGACCTGTTTCACAATAATTATAAATTTAATCGGGATTTTTTATTTGAAGTTTTTTGCAGTAATTACCTTAATTATTTGATTAGCTCAAAATCACCAATAATAAACTAAATGCTCCTACAGATAGCACAGATTTACAAAAAAAACGTGTTTTCATATTGAACCAAACTTCTATATCCCTGAGATATTCGACACCCTGAATGTGAATCCAAGGTCCGTTAGCCTCCTTTAGGTCATGGTCGAAGGCATTTGAAGTAGGGAAAAAATCATTGAATAAGCCTCAAAATTCAATACAATATTTCTGAATTTGACCTTGAGATGACCTTGGCACGACCTCTAAATGACCTTGAAGAATCAAAGAACCCCCATATTCGGATTCAGCGAGAACAAAAACCCATGTATATGAATTTTTATTTTCATTGAATAAATTGTTTTCTTATTTGACCCTAAAATGAACTCGAACCTGACATTATGTAGGTTAACGGACCTCGGATTCGGGTTCAGAGAGTCGAAAACCCGAGATATGTGCCCTTGTTACTTTCGGAATTAAACACTATTTTACATATCGAGCCCTAACCGCCAAAATAACGTAAGCGACATTTTTTTCAAAATTTTCTTTTTGATGCAGAAATATTCCTAGAGCATCTAAATGCATTTCTGCATCAAAAATTAAATTTTGAAAAAAATGTCGCTTACGTTATTTTGGCGGTTAGGGCTCGATATGTTAGCGGTTAATGCCGGGTATACATATATTTATTGAATACTAAAACGTTTAATTACATCGATCAGAGTACAATGTTCGGTTCGCTTGACAGTGTAGAGTATTGTGTAAGGTCCGAGGTATTTTGGATTAAGCTTCAAACCACGACCATATTGGGTACGCTTAATCGCCACCAATTCGTTGACGTTATACTCAACCTCTGCCTTACGATGGGAGCTGAAGGTCCTGCGGTTCCCTTCTTGAATCTTGGCTATGTTCTCTTGCGCTTAATGGCGGCTTCTTTCACGTTCGGAGTCGACTTCCTCTATCGCAGCGCCGTCTTAAATGGCTTGCAAGCTTGGTGCACCGGATATCCGCATGTCTAGCCCAGTAAGTATTTTAAACGGTGTTACTCGCGTACTTCGCGGCGGAGTGTTGTTGATTATTTGCTGCACGCGATCCACGTGACGGTACCAACTACCGGGGCTTTCACAGCAAAGCTTCGATATCATAGGGACAACAACCTCATGTACCCGCTCGACTTGGCCATTTTCTCGTGGAACACCGGTGGCGATGAGGTGTTGAATGGATTCGCTCTCGCAATACTCCTTGAAGAGGGCCGATGTGAAAGCTGCACCTCTATCTTTTATGATACGCCTCGGGTTGCCTAATACCTCTGCTGCTGTATTCTTCTTCGGATGTAGCCAGACAAACTTTGAAAATGCGTCCACAACCGTCAATATGTAGTTATACGCTTTTTTAGTTGTCTCCATTGGCCCAACATGATCAAGGTGGAATGTGCTTAACAGGCTAGCCTAATATTCACGCACGCCGCCAATTTACTGTGAAAATTTTCTCATGCACATACAACTGCTACGGGACCAACCGAAATTGAACGGCGTGCGTATGAAGCTAACTCAATTCCCAATTTTTGTTCTGCGTGACATTTTAATTTGACGTTTCGCTCAATGAAATCAAATGCAAACGTACGCAAGCCAATTTCGGGTGACGCAAAAATACAAATTCGACGGCGTGCGTACCAAAACACAAGCCGCGAATATTAGGCTTGCCAGTAAAGGACGATCTTTCTTGTTTGTGGGGTTCAGGAACCCTTCACGTTTACCTGCCTTGCTCTCGTTGGTTATGCACTCTATGCAGCTTCTGACTACATGTTCTGCTTTGGACTTTAACTGCGGAATAAAGAACGACTTCTTCATAGCTTCCGGCGTCTTCTTACTGGAAAAGTGTCCTTGGATATGTGCCGCTCTTATTATCTCTTCCTCCATAAGTGATAGGACGACGATCAGCTCCTCGACGGGATCCTTGTGAGTATTCCACGCTTCATGAAGAAATCCTCGTACTCTTCTCGTTCGACGCAGGGCTCTTACCCAGTCGTCTCTTTTCTGTGCTTGCTTCAGGCGATGGATCAGCGAGTCTTCGATTAACAGGCACGAGACCCTACTCAAAGCATCCACATATCTTATCTTGGTGTTCTTTCTTGCAAGTACATCGCCCAGCGGGATACTCTGACAGGCACATCGCGTTTTTTATTGTCTTGGTGAATGCGTTGCAGTCGGTTATAATTTTGAATTTTATACCCAGATACACGCGCCATTTCTTTAGAGCTTCTACGATGGCTAGGACTTCCAACTCATACGAGGGGTAATTTTCCTCAGCCGGCATTGTCTTCCGGCTCATGAACTGAACTGGGTGAAACTCCTGATCCTCGTAGTTCTTCTGCAGCATCACCGTGCCGTATCCGTACTTGGAAGCGTCCGTGTGTACCTGAGTCACTGCTTTTGGGTCGTACAGCGTAAGAACTGCCACATGCACCAAGGCGGATTTTTATTGTTGGAACGCTGCTAAATGTTCGTCTTCCAGCTCGTATCTCACATCCTGCCGCAACATATCCGACAAGGGATTGGCGATAACTGCATATCCCTCAACAAATCTCCTGAAATACGACGTAAATCCGAGGAATGGTTGCATTGCCTTCCAGTTACTGCTTAATGGCATTCGTCTTAGCGTCGAATGGTTTTATCGAACCGTTCTCGACGACATATCCCAGGAACTCTACCCTTTTGAGCAGGAACTGACATTTGCTCCACTTTATTCGCAACCCATTCGCAGCAGCCGTCTTCAGCACCACCTGCAGCCGTTGGATGCCTTCGGACTCGTCCTTATAGGGACTTATCAAATCGTCCATGTAGGCCACGACTATTCCGTCCCTGATCACGTCTCTCAACACTGCAAAGATATACTTTGTAAAGATAGCTGGTGAATTGCATATGCCAAAGAGCACATACAAGAACTCGTATTGGCCGCTCCAGGTAACGAAATACGTATATTTCCGTGATTCAGCATTTATAGGCACATGGATGAATCCGTTGCTTAGATCGAGTGTTGTAAACACCTTGGCTCCTTGCAAACGGTCGATGACATCGTCCGTCACCGGCATCGGGAAGTTATCCCTCACGATCTTCTCGTTCAACCTTCTGTAGTCACAGCAGTCTTTTCTCGCCATTCTTCTTAGGAACAAGCAAAACATTTATCTGCATAGGACATTCGCCTTGGTTTTCGGAGACTGGAATCTCATCCTTCAAGATTATCTTCATTTCTACCGGCGAATCAGCGTTTCTCACCGGATGTACGTGTGTATCATCTGTCTTATTTCGCTTACTTGCATTCTATTCAGATGAGACAAATCGACGCGTGGTGATTCTTCCTCGCTGGTCAGCAGACACAATTCTCCCAGTTCTCCAACCAGTTCAGCGATTCGATTATAATCGACTTCAAGCTCGCTAGCGCCTGCTTCCCTTCCTTATCCCTCTTTTTCTGGAAATCAGCACCGTCTTCGGTCACTACTAGGTCAACCTGTTTCAGTACATGTTACCTATGACTACTGCATTGCTGAAGTCGCATTCGTTGATTACATGGAACATAATATCCAACGGTATGCTATCTATAACCAGGTGCGTGGTGAAACTACCCAAGGTCACTAGCTTGCTATTGCCTATGCCCACTAATCGCCGCTTATCCTTACTTATCTCTACGTCTAACCTCAACATAAGCAAAGTATTGTATCGCATTAAGCACAGATCGGAGCCGGTGTCAATCAGCGCTGAAATTGTTCGCGGCGTCATGTTGGGTGTATTGAAGGTTATGTCCTTGAAGATTAAGCTACTCCGATTAGTTGACCTTGGTTCGCCGCCGACTGTTGACTCTTCCCTGCTGTAATTTTTTCGTATATCTGAATTTGTTCTTTAAGACCGCTGATGGACTTCGCCTGGTACAGGTTAATTTTATTAGATTTTGAGTCCGGTAAACCGTCAATGAAGTATTCTATTAGGCTGATGTCATCTAAGTTTGCAGACCTGGCGATTTCAATCAGACTGTACAAGTTCTCGCGTAAATCTTCATTCGGACGTTTACGGCGATACCTCAAAGCGCGATGTACCTCCATTGCCGATGTTGCCGTTCCGAATTCTTTCTTCAACGCTTACTTGAGCGATGCCTAACTACTGATGCCTGCCTGGCTACAAACAAACATTTTAGTAGCCTTTTTTAATAACTGCTTGGCATATATTTTTGCAGTTTGCTGCACTGTACGGCTAAGGCATTTTCCTCGAAGTCTGGCAACCACTGTTCGAGGCTGGGCTGACCTGATCTGCTGAATGGAGTCAACGAATCTTCAATATCACGAAGTGTGAATATTGAGCGTTCGGTGGTCGAACCATGTTCGCTGCGCCTGCTACCCGCGTCGACGAATTCCGCATCTTCATCTTCGTTAACATTCAGGCCGAAGTGTTCCATCAACCTGTCGTGTAGCGTAGCTTTGAGTCCACTGGTGATTAACCCTAGTATTTTCAAGTTTTCCTTAAGTCCGTCTGCTGTCAACGATAAAATTTGTTCTCGGTCTGTGAATTATGGATAAAGTTTATTATTGTAAAATATGTTAAAAGTTGAAATATCGAGTATATTTAATCTTCCATTACGAATTAAACTGCTTACAAATTACAATAGAAATGTTGCAATATCAAACGCTTTAAAACTATTTAATTATATTCGGTACTTTTTTATTACCACCGCCATTACTGTGCGCGATTGAGCTACAATGCTAGGCAGATGCCTATATACATATGTACGCACAACCGTGCTTATGAACAACAAAATTACTAAACAGTGTTAAGGCGGATTCACCGTTCGTGACGTCTGTCACGATAGCTGACCCACTTCTCCAAAAAATTATAATGATAATAATCACTCAGGAATTAGGTGCAACTTAGGGCCTCCAAAATAAATTTAAGGGCTCACTCGGTTTCCGAAATATTCGCAAAAATATGTTTTGGGTCAGCCAGCGTGACACCAAAATTAATTTCGGTGCGCACTCGGTTTCCGAAATATGTATTCGCAAAAATGTGTTTTGGGTTAGCCAGCGAGACGTCACGCTAGCTGACCCACAAACTAAATTCCGTCGAACACTGCTAAATATTATTCAGGAATTAGGTCCAATTTAGGGCCACCTAAACTAATTTCGGTGCGCACTCGGTTTCCAAAATATTCGCAAGAATGTGTTTTGGATCCACTAAACTTCGTCGAACACTGGTAAATATTATTCAGGAATTAGGTGCAATTTAGGGCCACCAAAACTAATTTCGGTGCACGCTCGGTTTCCGAAATATTGGCAAAAATGTGTTTTGGGTCAGCTCGAGTGACGTCACGCTGAAATGAATGTGGTGCAAGCAAATTTTGGGAAAGCGTTCATAGCCGCTTTTAATTTTCCTTTTCAACGTTTAAAAACCCTTGGGAAAAGTGGTTTCCACATATTTCACTATATCCCTGGCTCTTGCATGGTCTCTAATGTTTTTTTTGCTTACTTTGTACTTTATTATGATTTTGCAGAGAGATAAGCAATTTATGATTCTTGCTAGGGTCTCATTTCGATGCTATGTGAAACATGTTTTTTCGCACTCGTGGATTTTCCTCCTACGGTTTTCCTATTCTATAAAGCCGACATTTCCTTTGTAAATAAAGTTATTTTTAATTCTCATCGTGAAAAAATTTAACAACACGTTACTTTTCGTGACACTGAGTTTCGGTATACAAAATTTACAAGCAAATTTTCAGCGTTCGTTCGCTTTGAAGGAAATTATTTCAGCATTAAAATATACGAGATAATTTTTAGTGGACTGCTTGTTAAGATTGCACTGTAGATTTTGGTATACTTAGTTTTGCTCCTGTGTTTACCAAAATTTTTTATAGTCTGCTTAAAAATAGTCCACATTTCATTCCGCATACGTTATTCTCTATTCATAATAGGCGCCATAGACGGTGCGTCTGACGCGCGAGTCATCTGTGTACGTGGTGTGCCATGCCAGAGTCATGTCGGTGTATCAAACACATATTTATTTTCACTAACACATCCAAACCGACTCGCATGTCAGACGCACCGTGTGTGCCGCCTATAATTACAGTGACCATCCGTCCTGTTTTATACGGGACGCCAAATGTTCTGTATTTCATTTAATGTCCTGTATTTTTCCCGTACTCGGTGTTTCGACGCCTTAACAGCTCATTAAAATGGCATGCCTATGAACGAGTTTTAACTGATGTTGGTATATGAACGTAATTTTCTCCATAAACAGTTATTATTTTCTAATCTGAATGCCTGTGACTCGAGTCAAGGAATACATACAGAAATAGAACTCGACAGAAATTAGGACTCGACATTTTAGTAAGTTTTGGCTATTTTTCCTTATTTAATATTTATTATTTATTTTATGAAAGTGAAGCTCTTTTCCTAACAAAAACCATATAATAATAAATTTCCAAAATATGTAAAAATTTATTAAAATTAATTCTGCAATGTTCCAAAATTTTACACTTTTTAATTAGAATCTTAAAAAAAAACAATTTGGTTTGCAGTTTTGTAACTCATTAAAATTGAGTACAATAAAGTGCGAGTGGAAAGTTCTGCTTATTTGCTTCTCTTTCAAAAAAATGGTCGAACATACTTTGTATGAAAAAAATCCGTAACACCGCCAACAAAAAAAAAAATTGCCAAAAATTAATGGTAAGCCTTAGCGACTTTAAATTGCATTTTATTATACTAAAATTTAACGAATTTGTTTAACAAATTCTACGGGGTAAAAGGATACTGTCGGCCGCTGTGGTGTAGTGGTAAGCAGTGCGCGCTTCCACTCCACAATGCCTGGGTTCAATCCCTGGTCAAAGCAAAATCGAAAAAAATATAGAAAAAACGGTTTTTTTCTTAACAGCGGTCGTCCCTCGGCAGGCAATGGCAAACCTCCGAGTGTATTTCTGCCATGAAAAACAGCTTCTCATAAAAATACAATCGCCGTTCGGAGTCGGCGTAAAACTGTAGGTCCCAATGTAGGCCAATCTATTATTATTATTATTAAAAGGATACTGTTGCAGGACTAATACATCTAGGATTATTGAAGAAGGCTTTAAGATCTGTAAGCTGTTGTGGAAAAAATTTGCAAAATTATTTTTTGTCCCGTTTTCAGCTCTCTTAAATATGATCGTTGTACCTATAATGCATCTTTTCGAAAATGGCGGAAATTTGCGGTTATAATCAATTGCAGGGGTGGGCAAGGCCGAAGTCGAAAAGAGCCACATGTTAATTCTAAATGCTACAAAGAGTCACACGAAAAAACAACAAAAACAAAAATTTCATTTTTAAATAAAATTATTATTAGAAATGAAAAACATTAATTTTATCATTATTCTAATGTACGTAAGATAGATATTAAAGAAAATTCAAAAGATCCCTTTGGCCAAATTTTCAAAATCTGGTATTACGTTAGTTAAAGCCGTTCGTAACAGTTCTGTTGAATGTTGGTTAGTCAATAGGTACGTTCGTTTAGTTTCCAGTAAAAAATGCCCAACAGCAAAATTCCGGCGAAATGTCGTCTGTTCTCTTACAAGAGGAAAATATCCAAAGTAATACGCGCACAGAAAATTTGCAGAAACTTGCAAGTTAGACGAACAGCTGATAGAAATTTTGTTTACATTCAAAAGTATAAAATGAAAACGTATGAAATCAAATCCCGAAATCTTATCCTAACACAGTTCACTGACTAAACGAATAATTACTTCTTACAAGTTTAATTAGTCGCACTTTACTATTTTAACTTCCAAACCATCAAATTCAATATAGGGATTTGCGTAAATTCAAACCAGCTTTTTTTGATCAGCTGTTTTCTTGTTGGCAAATTGCTGTTGGTAAAAATTTTTCCAGCAGCTTTCACTCAAAATGAAATTTCATTTTCCTCTCTCAATTTCCCCTACTTTGCAAGTTTTTTGCGTACGCGAACACAAAAAGCTGATAGTTTTTATAACTTTCAATAATTATCAGGTGCACGAATGCAACTAATTGTGAGCGGTATTTTGACATTACGAACTTCATTGTAGAGTAAAAAGACTCACAGTTATACTTTGTACCAAAAATTTAAAATATACGGCACACAGCTGTTTCAACAGGGGATATTTTAAATCTGGTACTTGTTGCGGGAGTTCAAGCAATGACAAAGTTTTATGTTGCATTTTCAGTGCCTTATCTTCTTTTAATTCCAAAAACTCCAACTCTTCGCTTTTCTTAAAAAGGAGTATTTCGGATATTGTAAATTCATCATCAATTATGTTACAGTAAGAAAGGTTTATGAAGTATGCAAACGGACATTTCAATAATTTCAAATCGGCAAATCTGTTTTTAAAATCTGCTTTTAAATTATATTATATTGCACATATTTTTTTCCAGCCATGGAAAAATATGAAATATTCTTTTTTTTTGAGATCATGAATAAGAAGACGTAGTTAAGCTTCAAAACTTAAAATAATTTGCGACAAATCAAAAACATTCTTATTCTCTCCTTGTAGAGACGAATTCATGTTTTGCACATGTTCCATCACATCGGTAAAGAACATTTAGTCAGAAATTCAATTTTCAATCTCCAGTTACGTTACGTGCGCTGATACACCAAATTGCTAACTCAGTAGCGCAATTATGCGTTGGCAGCGCAATGCGTTGACAGCACGACAATACGTTGATAGTGAAATAATGCGTTAAGATCGTAACATTGCGCTGAGAGCGCAATATGCGTTGAAAGCGAAACAAAAACGTTTATTGTCACAGCGCAATGAATGAGCGTTGTGACATTCTTCCCGATTCAAACAATGAAACAGTTTAATTTTTCAGTTTTTTTATGAATATACTATTTTATTAAAACAGTAAGCCTTTTCATTAAAGAAAAAACATTTTATGTATTACAGGAGCTTAACCATGACAAACTGAGCATAGGTACATAACAAACATTTATTAAAAGTATCAGTCTAGATGTAATGTCCGTCACGCTAAAGAAACTGCATTGCGCTCGCGAAGTCCAGCTGCCAACAGTCACACATACAGCGTGTGCTCTTTTTAACCGGCATCTTACTATTTCAAATGTTTTATAATAAATCGCAGGTATAAGTGAACTTGAAATAGTCTTCCTAGTCGGAACGCTATAATTAGGGTTAAATAGATGAATAAGTTTCCGAAACTCGACGTCTTCGACTATACTGAATGGGTGATATTCGATAACAATCATTTTAACTAATTGTTGATCAATTTCACTCTTTTTTTTATTCAACAGCGGCCTATGAAAGTATCCCGTTATGACTGTAGGTCGCGGCGTAGAAGTTGCGGTACGTGGCGCAGAAAATTCAAGTGGCGGTGCAGAAGTAGCAGGTGGCGGTATAGAAGTGGCAGTATGCGGCGTTGAAAGTTCAAGTGGTGGTGTAGATTTTGCAGGTGGCGAAGTGTTGCAGGATACACGTGTAGTTGTTGCAGCAGATTGCAACTCATTGTTATTATTATCCGATTCCTCGGCTGGATGTCTTGATATTCTCTGTGTAGGATGCTTTTTATTTAGGTGGCGAATTAGGCCGCACGTCGATTTGTTGCTCACAGATAAATGCTGGCCGCACAGCATGCACTTTACTTTTTTTTTGCTGTTCTTCGGAAAAATGCAACCACACATCGCTTTTCCTTCTTGAAGTCATTGGGAGAATCCTAGAAATATATATATATATATGTTAATTTTAAATTATGAAAAACATACACACAATTATGATAAACTTACAAATACTTTTTAGCCACCAGGCAGACCCAAACGATTAGTAGATAGCGCGTAAAAATTAGAAATGCGTGTAAAAATTATAATCGCTGATAAAGATGGCATCTGTTTTTTTGCTTTGCTACGATGGATGCCACTCCGTCACGTATAACGCAAATTGCGCTGATACATACTGCTTCGCTTGCGCTAACATATCAACGCAGTGTATGTGTATATAAAAAGAATAAAATAAAAAACAGCACAATGGAAAAGAATGTCCAGCAAAGAAATATGTATTTTAAAAAGTAAAAAGAGCCAAAATGGTCTAAGCAAAGAGAAAGTCAAAAGAGCCGCACTTTGCTAAGCAAAGAACAGTGTTGCCACTTTACTAAAATTGTGGTAGATCTACTCCATTTTGGGTAATTTTTCACTTCTACCACAACTAGTACAGATTTTAAAAAACTACCAAAATTTTACTGAAATAAAATTATTAATTTAATTTGAAAAATGTTTTTTTCATAAGAGTTGAACCGTCAATTTTCTCCTCAATATGATTTTAAATGTCAAGAAAATTTATTGTGAAATTTCTGTTAGTTGCTGCCGTTTCATAATTTCGGTTGCGTGCCAGTTATAATACCCTTGTACACAAGTGCGCTCGGGTATAAAAAACAAAAATTTAAAGATTGGTCAGCTAGGTTAACAGCGCTAAGCTAGCTGACCAACACATTTTTGCGAATTTCTCGGTAACCAATGGAGCTCCTAAATTAGCTTTGGTGAAGTTGAAGAACACCTAAAAAAAGACACCTAATTCCTGCATATATATATTTATTTATTTCTTCTATATTTTATAAATAAATTTATAAAATATTAGTTTTTTTTGGGGGGTTCACCCCACGCCAGAAGGAATTAAAGGGGTCATGTGACTTGTGGTTCCGTAGCTATGGCTGATAAAAAGTTCCAAGCCTATGTTAAGTGATACGCCCCTAAAAAAACTCATTTATAATACCTTACTATTAGCACCTACCATAAATTTGTTTGCATACCAAATTTCAAGTTCATGTGACTTGCGGTTCCGAAGTTAGAGCTGATTAAATAATTCACGCCTATGGGAGGTGCCACGCCCACTTTTCCAATACCGCCAATTTTTCCCATGAACATGGAATTAATTTTATTTATCTCGACAGCAAGTTCCAATGCTCTACCACAAATATTTCAAGAGATATACAATATGAAAATTTTAGTTAGTATAAGAGGTGCCACGCCCTCTTTTCCAGTTTCTCTATGCCTATAACCTTCCCGGGGTAAAAGCAAATAAGTTTCCAATGTTTCGTGCGATACCGTGCCGCGGTTCAGAAGTTATAAGGTAATAAACAAACAGACATTCACATTTATATATATAGGTATTTTTGAGGCTGGGCTACTAGGCCATATTGCCTCAAGGAAAGTTAAGTATTTTAAACTTCTTTGAATAAGTTATGTTTACTTAGAGCATCTTTAAGTATTTTTATGGTGATTTCTTGAGTGCAGTCAAGAGCTTTCTTTAAATTGATATTTTGATCTCCGGATACAGTACAATTTTTTTGTATAAATGCGACACTTAGGGCCGCTGAGCACCACGCACATTTCCTTGGTCGCGATTGTTGAAAATAGTACGTGTGTAAAGTTAGCACTACACTTTTCGAAATTGGGAAAGTTAACTACGGCATTAATTGTAGTGTTTTTGTTGTAAATTTGCTGTGGAAAGAAAAAAATTGCAGCTCTAATTTAAAAAAAAAATATGGTATGTTGTGCTAACTTGACACCATAGTCGATAGAACTGTGATATTGAAAATGTTATAACGGCATTAATTGTAGCTTTTATATTGTAAATTTGTTGTGGAAAGAAAAAATTTTTAGCTTTCGTTTTTTAAGAAAAACTGGTATGTAGTGTAAATTTGACACCATACACCTAGTTGATAGAATTGAGATATCCAATATGTTACTATGCCATTAATTGC